TTAATTTATTTGACAGAGCACAAGTAGGCAGAGAGGCAGGCAGAGAGAGAGGAGGAGCAGGGAACCCAATGCAGGGCTCGATCCCAGGACTCTGGGATCGTGACCTGAGTTGAAGGCAGCCACTTAACCAACTGAGCCACCCAGGCACCCCCAGAGCAGTACATTCTTGACGTACAGTGTGTTCACCCATACCTATCAACTGTCGCCCCCGCTAATGTAAGTTCAGTGACAGCACTGTTTGTCCTTTCTTATTCACTGGCTAGATCAAAGCATTAGTGTAAAGCCTTGTCTTCTTTAACTGCTTGATTAATTCTGTCCACTATTGTCCTCTGTCCTGGGCAGACTTGGTCCCACTTTTCACTGGAGCACCTGTTCCCTTCTACACCGTCCATAGAAGCTGTGTCTTTGAGATTCCCCAGACCCTTTTCTCACACACAGGCATGTACACACTAATTCAAGTAGCTCACCTGTGCTGTACTGTTTTGTACTGTTTTTAGTGCAAATGGCTTAACATTCCCTGAATCCTAGGCCCTGGGGATAAAGGATTCATAAAACACAATCCTTATCTTCAAGTCCATATAGTCTCATAAAGAAGGCAGGTGATTACCATGCAGTGTGAGAGAGCCTACAGTAGAGGTTGAACACAGGACAGAAGCAAAATGAGAGGTCGGCTCTACTGGTTGGAGAGCTGGCAAGTCGACAGGACTTTACAGTGGAAGAGGCTACATTTGGCCTGTCACCTTGCACAGCGCTGCACCAGGTATAGAGAGCGGCATATGGAGGAGAAAACGCTTGGAGAAGGGTCTTTGGCTAAAAGGCCAGGTGAGGACCCTGGAGCCGTGGCCAGCTGCTGCTGACCTCTCTCTCAGACCTGCAGATGGTGAACATCTCCTTGCGAGTGCTGTCTCGACCGAATGCCATGGAGCTTCCCAGCATGTATCAGCGCCTAGGGCTAGACTACGAGGAGCGAGTGCTGCCATCCATCGTCAACGAGGTGCTGAAGAGTGTAGTGGCCAAGTTCAATGCGTCACAGTTGATCACCCAGCGGGCCCAGGTCTGAGCTGTCACCGTATACGTGGCTTCCCACCTTCCTTCCTAGGCCTGAAACAGTGCATATTAGGAAGAGCAGCTTGTTAGAAAAGGGTCACAACCCTAGATCCTTTTTCACCTCAGAGCTGCACTGATGGCCACTGTGGGAAACAGGGCGAGTCAGGATGGGTGCTCAAGCAGTAGGAAGCATGGTGTTTTCTCACACTAGCAAAGTCCAGAGGTACATAGGTTGGAGAGAGTGGGAAATGAGTCACTGTGACCTACTGGAAAGATTGGACCAAATCCCTTCCAACTCAGGTGTGCTAGTTGAAGAACCAAGAAAGGATTGTTTTCTGCCATTTTCTGGAGCTCTGATATTCAGACGATCATAGCAGTCGCCCTCCCTTCCAGTTCTCCAGTCTCTTCATTCCACCCCTCCATGACCCCCAGGTATCCTTGTTGATCCGGCGGGAGCTTACAGAGAGGGCTAAGGACTTCAGCCTCATCCTGGATGATGTGGCCATCACGGAGCTGAGCTTCAGCCGAGAGTACACGGCCGCTGTGGAAGCCAAACAAGTGGGTGAGTTACAGGAGGACTTGGGCCAGGGCTTCTGCAGATGCAGGAGGCAGAACGGGGTCTCTGAGACCTCACATCTGTGACCCCCCCCTCCCACCACAGCTCAGCAGGAGGCCCAGCGAGCCCAGTTTTTGGTAGAAAAAGCAAAGCAGGAGCAGCGGCAGAAGATCGTGCAGGCAGAGGGTGAGGCTGAGGCAGCCAGAATGATATCCTGCTGCAGAGAGAGGTCTCTGCCCAGTCCCTGGAGCATGATGCTTCCTCCTTCTCCCTCCTGGGCCGGTTGATGACACTAAGGCGAATGCGACTCCGTGCTGTCTGGTCCTTGGCTCCCTGGGGGTGGAGGTTTGGAATGGGATCTGAAATCTTAGTGGGGTGCCCGAGGCCTGGCTCCCCACTGTAAGGCAGATCCATAGCACTGCCGGCCTTGCCTCCATTTCTGCTGCTGCCTCCAGTTTCTGGCAGCTGCCTGCAGGGGGGCCCACAGGTGGGGACCAGGTGGGACCAGGCACGAGGTAT